TCTCGGGAAACCTCCCGATTTGTCCTTTATGTTTTAGTCTCGTTCGCAATGTCGCTTTGCTTTTACTTGAAAAGTAATTTAGCGGAAAAGTGATTTTTAATTTTCGAGAGAAATTATTTCTGCCTCGCATTATTTTTATCTTTACTAAGAATTGTGTTTGCTTGATTGAAGGAGCTTAGCGAATATATATGCAATTCCTTTACAATCATATCTTTAGGTAGAGAAGATTATTCAATTTTTGAAAGAACATTGGCTAATTAATTAATTATTAAACAATGTGTATAAACTTCATTGTATATATATATATATATATATATATATATATAAAGCATTTAATTTGAAATAGAAATTTATTTACGTTTATAAAAATCTGTCTTATTATGATTAAGAAATTAGATTACACGAAGAAAGGATCCCATTAATTATATAGAAAATTAAAAAAATGAGTTAGTTTCACATGTAATAGCTTATAATGTGAACAAAAGATGTCACAAACACAAAATTCAATAATAAATAATTTTTCAACTTGGTGTATCAAAGGTATAAAATTTGTTCAGAGCACCGTTAATGTAACGTAGTAGCAAAACTCCATTATTGAACCTTGTCTAAGACATCTATTCATTTTCTATAAAATTTGCGCGGAGTCCTTTGTTGTGTAACAGCAGTTTGTGTGTAAGGTCCATCGTTAACGTTGCTGTGAAAATTATATTCTCTCCTTTTCTTATACACATGGAAGATGCGTCACATGTTGCTTGATATAGTTCATGAATGCGTCTAGGCTCGCTTCCCAGTCCGAGATGTAATTCGTTCTTTCAATTCTACGACATGAATCACCGTTTCCTCTCTCCCGTACTACGACGATAACATTTCACTACACGGACGTATTACGACATCCCGTTGATCTTACAAACATATACTTGAATAAACTGAGTATCTAGAAACTTAACTGTTTCAGAACGTATGAAAGTCTTCACTTTTATCTGGAACGATCTATTCTTTATTCATCTAGATTTGAAAATTTAATTTTCAAATAGATAGATGGGTTGCTCAAAACATTTCAAACAAATTTATTTTTATAGTTATTGGGTCATCTAAAAAGTATCCGCGGTTTTTAGATGACCCAATATATTTTTTAATACATTATGTATAGAGTTAAACTTCATTGTTTAATATACATATACCTTTATGAGATAAAAAAAAAACTCGAAGAAAGGCTAAAGGTGAATTTAAAACGTTTATCATTTAAAACGTGAATTTCAGTGACGGGTGTAATTTATGTTTTTCTCGATAATGGCTTATTATTGACTCAAGTTCTGCTCTTGCGATTCAATGGCAACAGAATCATCCACTCGGTGTGCATCGAACATATTCGCTTGTGCATTTGTTCTTTTTATCAGGAGACTGGCGATTCTCTTATCAGCACGGATTCATAATACTCACGTAAACCATCGATGAGATATTAGCCCTCTGACCGAATTGCCGAGTCGTTGATGATTTATCGTATCCGAGCAGTAAATACCAGCCGAACTAAAAAGAAAAAAGAAGAACAAAGGGAAAATGATAATTGCCATGCACTTCGAATCTGCCATAAACGATTGAGGGTTGCTAGAGATTAAGATTTAAAATGGTCGTGTAATAGAGAACGTGACAGCCTTGAATTTTGTTTCTACAATAAGGCTATGTTGAATTTATTATTAATTGTTCTCGAGGAAAAAATGCACTAAGAAAATGATAAAGATAAGACTGGGCAATCATTGCGCAAGCTGTGTAATCTCATATAGTCACGCTTGTCATTCCGATAGATATCCGGTGATAGTCTGTCGGGTAGATTAAAACGACTGATTAGAGATAAGACTTGGCGTGAATTAGATGTAATTCTGAACGTTATTCACGATTGAATAAAAAAGAAATTAATTGTACATGATATTAATGCTTCTAAAAAAAAAAATATTAATTTCAGTGGACATAAATAAAGTTCCAGCGTTACGATATTGATATTATACTTTATGATTCGAAAGAGAAAAAACGAAAGGAGTGAAAGCTGTTGAAACAAATAATATTAAATTTTAATAAATATTTGTTTGAATAGTTTACTTAGCAAACATTTGCTAAATGTACAGATATTTATTTGATATAAAATCCATTAATTTTATTTATCACTTTTTATTAAGTAAAGATTTATTTACCATAAGTTTACTTAGTATTATATTAAAAAAAATTTTATTCAAATTTAATAAATTGTTTTCATATAAAGTAGAGCTTATCATCTTATTTAAATAAGGACAAAATTATTATATAAAAAAATTTGTTAAATAAGAAAATTATAATTTATAAACTTTATTATTATAATAATTTGAAAAAAACTGTTTTAAAAGTAAAACTGAGGTTAGTGATTAAAATCGTGATTAGTGCGATCCTATCGTTATTTCATAACTTGTGAAATATCGCTTTACATTGAATCCTCATTAGTGAATAATGCCATTTGATATCGATATTCAAAGCTACAAGTCTTACATAATGCGCTTTTGCCAGATAATAGCCTGCGCGTGCATTGATCGGCCATGCCCAAAGCCTACGTGATACTCTATTTCATGGTCATTTCAAATCTCGCTTTCATGTGGGAAATAGATGCTTTTGCATGGGTTTTCATAGAATGTGGTATCCGCGGTAAACGCGTGTGGGTGTTGTATTCTGTTATGACATAGTCTTCTTATTGCAACGTTTATCAAGTCACGTATGTCATATCGATTCCTCAGATTAAATACTCATTTAATTCAATTGAAGAAAACACTTTGATTAGTGACTTCGATAGATGCAGCCTTTTCCTTTTTTTTTCCTTTTTTACGACCTTTTTCTTTCTCAATATTAAGCGTACAGAATTAATTACAATTAATGTAATTATTATATAGCTATGCTATAATTGTAGACTTATAATTATATAGTAACAATAGGAAATAAATGCTCAAGTAAGAAAGAAAACGGTAGATAACGTTTCATATTTCTTGATGGAAGATAAATTTTAATAAAAAATTTTTCTCTTTGTATCTCTTTGCCTTGAAAGTTGAGATCGGTTTTTTTTTCTTTTTACTGTAAAAACATTTTATCTGAATGTTTTCCGTCAGACAAGATGAAGCTAGTCAGTTCGAAAATGCATTCCAAGAATGTTCCCTTTTTTTTCAAGGAGGAAACAACATGAAGTCTCTGGAAAACATAAACAAATTTGATTTACAAATGATAATTGATGATGTCTTAACTAAAATTTTCAAAGCGAGAAAAAAGTAAGTCATCGTTCCGATATTTTCCGGTATCGGACTGCACTGCTGCTTCACGAAGCGTCTGGAGAATAAAGGAACCGAGTTGCATGCACGTGACTCAGAAAGGGAAAAGGTCGTTTTGTCTCCGGAACAGACGTGCGTCGATCCGAGGTGAATGAGGCCAGCCAGGTTTCTTGAGTGGATACGCAACATCTTGTCGTCGTTGTCGATATCTAGCTTCTAAACGTGTCTTTGTGCGAGACCTATTCTTCTCGACCTCTCCGGGAACTCGCGATAAAAGGAACTAGGCGACACTGAAACGTACGCGAGAGCGTTTTGTGCATCGCGTGTTGCATCCCTCCCGCTGTTCTATCTCAACGTATTTCTCCATTCGACAACTTCTCTGACCTGCTCGATACCGACAAGTTTTTTTTTTTATCTCCGTTATCCCTCGCACTGAACGTGATAATTCCCGCTGAAGTCGTTTGCGAAGTGTCCAAAGTGTGGAATATTGCTTTGCATCACGCGAAGTATGGTTTAATATTTTATATTTAAAATGTAAACGATGCGACATTCTCGGTCGAGAAGCGTTCAATCTCGAAATACAATGTAGTAAACTTTAACAGCTCTGCCAGAAAACTCGAAATTAGGGAAATTAGAGAATTGTCAGGGAAATTGAAAACGATCAAGGAAGTCAGGGAAAAGTCGGGGAATTTTGCAAAATTTTATAGAAAATTAAAATTTTTAGCTTTAAAGAAGTTCAATATTCGTACATCATAGTCACGCAGTTTTAGAATACTATTAATTTAACAAATAAATGCAAGTACAATAGTGTCAACAGCATTAATAGTAATTTATATGTTAAATAGATCTTTGAATAGAATATATTAAAATTTTTAAATTAGGATAAAAATACAACAAAATTTCAAAATAGTCAGAGAAAAATATTAAATTTTGTCTGGAAATCTGGAAGAAATTATGGAATTTTGGATGAGGAATTTGACAACTCTGAGCAGTAAGATATGTCAATCACATATGAGGAAAATAATCGACTATGACTGATTGATTTTTTATGATTTAAAGCTTAGGTACATCTATTGTGTGTCTATTTTACTTGGAGATGTGATCATAGAAATGATCATAGAATCTCTGTCTTTTGTATTTATATTCTTTTGTATTCAACCTCTTGGGCTTTAACCCTTGAATTTGTTAGTTTCTAAAAGGACGTGAGTTGTATTCTTGAAGATGTAAAATTTCGAAATTGGAACTTTATTTTTAAAACCCATTATATATCTCTTTTAGAAATACACTGGAAAAGGAGTCTGCATTATTTGGGATTTTGGTTGAAAATGGACGAATTGGAATTTTCTGATTGAATCCATTATAATTCTAGCTAAAGATAATTAGAATTCTGAGTGATATAATTAGAATTCTTTTGGTTCGTCTCATCCATTTTCAATTAGAAATTTTTTTTAGTGTATACTTATACGTTTACAAACGTCTTTTAAAACAACACTATAATTTTGGATCTTGGAGCCTTCAACGCAATTTTAGGAATTTACAATCTTTGTCTTTTTCTTATTCTACAGTTGCTTTTTCTTAACTAATTACCTTTCAATTTTTTATAAACAACAATGTTTGATATTGAGATCACCCTGGCTTACTAAAATCGCGGAAGAATTCTCGCCAACAGAGAATTCTAGACTTGGAGTTCCACTGACGTGTCACGTTCTTTTTTTATTCTAGCCGACACAATGTCCGTGGATAAGGAGGAATTAGTGCAACGTGCGAAGCTTGCTGAGCAGGCGGAAAGGTACGACGACATGGCGTCCGCGATGAAGGCGGTCACCGAGACGGGAGTCGAGCTGTCGAACGAAGAGAGGAACCTACTCTCGGTGGCGTACAAGAATGTCGTAGGAGCGAGACGTAGCTCGTGGCGGGGAATCTCCTCTATCGAGCAGAAGACCGAAGGCTCCGAACGCAAACAGCAGATGGCCAAGGAATACCGGGAAAAGGTTGAGAAGGAATTACGCGAGATCTGCTACGATGTATTGGTGAGTGAACAGAGCCTGTCTTTTCCTGTCCTAAAACCTAAACGTACCGGTCGCCCTTTCCTTTCCGCTTCAACAAGTTTATGTCTGAAAAGACTTACGTTAGGAAAACACGTTCAACTCGGGCTTATGTTGAGTGATAAATTCATTTTATTATTGGAAATATTTATTAATAGCAATATTTATTAATAGCAATATTAATGAAGAATTAGGGGATGTTTATTATCTGGAAAACCCAGAATTTGTTGAGAACGGTTTTTCACCCTTTGAGAAAAATCGAGGTTTTTAAATAGAATTTTATTAATGCTCGGAGAAATTTATAGAATTTTATTTTTAAATTTAAATTGTCTTTCTGGGAACATTGCTTCATTTTTTATTGATAATGTTGATAATCAGTAATAAGTATCTTGGAATGTTTAATATATAATTTGTATTACATGTACTCTAATTTATTACAAAGTTGCATGAAAAAATTTTCCTATCTTACCTGAGATTTAAGAAAAAAAACTACCTGGAAAAAATCCGGGAGTTCTTAGGAAATCTTTTTACGAGATTTCAGCAAACATTGACATCAATTCGTTGGTTTATTTAGTAAAGCATTTTTATTGCTGTAAAAATAAGATATATGTATTTATGTTAATGAATAGAATGTGTACATCTCTGATTATATCTGTTTTCAAGAAGATATAGACAGGTATACATATATTTGAAAAGAAGTAGAGCGAAGAATTTACGTTTCCGATCGGTGTATCCTGTTATATCGCACGAACGGCGTATACAGCGCAATTCGCATGTGTTTGCTCGATGGTCAGGCTCATTGTGTCGCCTGAGTATTGATCGAAGTCGCTTTAGACAAGAAAAGCGACGACACGGGCGATAAGAGATGAGGCGAGTATTGAAATATGGGAGAAAAGCGTAAATAGTTCTCTCGGGAAGTGGGGAAAAAAGGAGAGGAAAAACTGCGAATTGTGTTTGCCGAGGAGCAAACATGTTTGAACAAATGTCTTAGCGGTGACCCAGATGATAGAAGACTGACTTTTAACGCGGTTTTCTCGCGTCGATTAAAGTAATTCTTTCGACATTCATCGATGTAATTTTAAGGATTCACGAGAAACACGAAAACACAGTGAAAATTTTTGTCCCATTTTTTATGTTAAAAATGAATTAGCAGTTCTTGTATATTTTTTAATGCTTCGTCTTCTTTTTTCTTTCTTTGTGTGAAATTGTATTGTTGGAACGATGCTGATTTTTGTTGTTTTTGCTACGCGAATCGATAAGCAATCATCGAGAGTTATTTTTGAACGATACGTTGATGCCATCACACTCGCGATTAAACCGTAATAAGGTTAATTGAGTCTACTCTATGGAGTCTACTCTTGATGATGAAGCGAACCTTCAGCGGAACTGTTTGGGCGGATCTCTCGCACTTTGAGCTGCCACATAGCTTCTGCATGATTCGAGGCTACGATAAATGGCCCGTTCGACAATGCATTTCTCAAAATAAATGTGACGTTCCGATGCTCCCTTCATATATCGATTTTCATATATCGATTGTTACATCTTGGGAAAACAGATAAGATTTTATAGGCGCATTAAAAACTAGTCTCAAAAATTAATAGACTGTCTGTATCTGACGTATGACGAAACAATGAATAGCTCGAGAGAAAGAGATGTAAAATAATAAATATGAAATTTAATGTAATCTATAAAATAATAATAATGCCTGCGTTCAGCGGATTCAACAGTTGAGTGAGCGCTCGTTTATTAATGTATTCTTTTAGATCATCCAATCAGCATTTTAGATCTAGAAGAATACATCAACAGCAGCGAGCGCTTGCTCAATTGTTGAGTCTGCTGAACGCAGTCATTAATAAAATTTAATCCTAGAACTGTCGATGATCCTATTTTGACTCTGCTAATCATTTCATGTTTTTTTCTATATTTCAAAATATTGAAAATTTGTGAATATAAAACATAATAATTCTAATGATACAAATAATATCAAAAAAATTTTTTTATTGTTAAAAGTAAACATAAGACTAAAAGATACATTGTTTAACGAATTTTTAATATAAATTTGCTTTACACGAATTTACATCGGTAATTTACATATTATCTCACCATGCTGCATTATCTCACGCAATTTGCGTTTTGTTCTTCCAAAATAACTCCCCGATTTATTGCTCCGTGTATCTTAATCGTTTAATATATATTTTTCACATATTAATTTTGCATTGAACAATTTTATTTTTACAATTTCGATCTCTGTTTCTATCTCATAATATTAAATGATCTATCAACTCTGTGATGGAGATGATTCATGAGTGAACTCGGTGAATTCATTCCTTCATCTGAGAACGTTAATTTACGTGCGAAAAATTCAGATTCCTGCTCGTACGTTGTTCGAAATTAATTTTATGGGATGGGGAGAAGATACGTACACGTGTTTTCTCACACGAATTCGCAATATCGTATGTCAGGCGGTTGGCACTATTGCAAGCTTCCTCACTGAATAGTACGAGCTCTATATTGTGACGATCGATGTGTCAGTTTTATCGCACATTCTTGTGTCACGGTTAATAATGGAGCAAATCAATTTTCAGAGAGTGAGTAAATCATGAAAATGATCGCACACAATAGTAGTCTCGCATATTTATTTACCATAAAATTAGTCGCTTAATTAATATAATATCAGATTAATATAATACGCTTAATATATATCTACATAATTAATATGTATAATTTCACATTTTATAGAATTATATCTAAATATTTATCTCGTACAGATTTATTTTATAATCCTCTTTTGATAATATCATGTTAAATTAGAATTTGATTTTGATTAAATTGAATTTGCATATTTTTCAGTTTGATAAATAGCAATTGTTTTAATAGAAATATTTGAAGTGTTGAAAATTAAAGATTGATGTCTATGTTATGTATGGATAGAAAGCTAGTCACAAAGTAGTATTTATGTTAATGTGTTCTTGCGTATTTGCGATAATCAGAATCTACGTGTATTGAATCTCTGATAGTTTTGTCACGCTATTTTACTAGATATCTATCTTTTACCGTTAATGAACATTTGTTTAGATAAACATTATATTTATTTTAAATGAATATAATGCATTAGCATGAATATAATATGCTTGTTTTGACGCAATATATATCTATTCAAAATATTCGTGTTACATAAATATTTTTTATTGTATTTTTTAAGTGCGACAAGTATTTGTGTACGCAGGGGAGATTTTTTTTTAAATCGTACTTAATTAGCAAAATTAATTAGCAATTTATTAACTATGAATCAGATAGACTATGTATTTTTCAAAATTATTTTACCTAAAAACATGTTTAATAATTTCACATATATCTTTTTTAAATAAACGAAAATAAAACATATTAATTAGAGAAATTTAATTAAATTGCTTATAACTCATTCTTATATAAAATAAGATTAAAATTATAAATGATTATTAATTTGTATACATGAATATGTTGTAAATGAATTGCTACTAATTATAATAATAATTATTATATCGAATTACGGTATTAATTAAGGTATTGATCGAAAAATTTAGCTTTTGACATCAGGAACACACCTAATATTTTGTTTACATTAGGACAAAATATACTTGTTGCATAAAATTGCTAATGTTTATTTTTTATAAGTAAGTTTTTTTTAATAAAAATTTTCCGTGCATGAATACATTTGTATTCATTGTGGGTAGTTAATTATATCATATGTTAATTAAAATTTATATTACTATTAAAATTACACGACATATTAATTTGCAATCTTACCTTTTACGCTATTAATTTCGAGTAATGGCTTTCCATTTCTCTCTCTCGAATTTTATGATTGGCTTAGGACTTTCTATTTCAATCAGTTCGATAAAATCGAAAGAGAGGACGTTGAGATAGGCGAGTTCGGTGTCGCCTTCTATCCCTCCTTACAAACGTGTTCCAAAAGAGCAAGCCAAGTGCATTCCGCTCCTTTTTCCGCGCCGATGCAGTCGTCGCGATGTTTCCTGTTCTCCATACATAGCCGACGAGTCCCGGAAAGGTGTCGGAGAAAATTATATGCCGTTGAGTAACCGGCGTTCGCGCGTCCAAAGGGGGTCGCACTCCGAGAATTGCGATGGGCGGGAATCGATAAACAAGTAATTTCGCATAATTACGTAGAACGATGATTTCATCCTCACGTGAGTTATTCTTTATCCCGGAACGTTCTCCTACGCACATAAGATTCCAGAATACGCCCTCTTTTTATTTATTGTATACTTATATTAATAATGTCCTGACCTTTATTCCTTCATTGCGACTCAATTTTTTCCTACAGCATCTCTTATTTTTTTTACAATTTTATTTTACAATCACAGAAATTAAATCTCGCGATTTATACGAATATGTATCAGATGCGTCAGCATTTAAATAAATTTAATTTCTATTTGTAAAATAAAATTATGAAGAATAAGAGATATCTTATAGAAAAAGTGCGTCGAATAAAAGCTTCTGTAGCAAATAAACGAGAGCGAGTAATCGAATATGGATAAATAGAAGAATGCAGAGAGAAGATTGAGAAGTTTGTAGAGAAAAGTTGTCGTCAATTAATCTTCTTTACTTTTTAATAAGCTACTTCTTTCGTTGAAGGAATTGCACACTGAGAAAAAAATTGTTCATTTAAATAAATTAATTTATTTCGTCTATTATATATACATATATATATACATATAATTGGGAAATGGATATATTTAAAGCAAATATAATACGTTGGACTTAAATACATTCTTCATCGAAAGAAATATATATATAAAGACGAACAAAATTAACTTAATCAAATGAACAATTTTTTTTTAATGCAGGCATTAACTTAATCCAAAACACCTAACTATAGTCCCGTGTATTCGTTAGCGATTCTACGTTGTCGTTTAGTGAGACTATAACGATATACAAGGAAATGCAACTACGAAAATATGCACTACGAAGTCATTAGCATAGCA